AAAAACGGCATGAAGAGAAAAAATGAAGAATTGAGCAGAGTTTCAGGCAAAATCTGCAAAAAATGTAGATTTTTGTGAAAGTTTCAGGATTTTCGGCTGAAAATCACAGAAAATTTAGAAACTCACAAACCATAAAACCAAAAATTGCAAATTTTCTGAATTTTTCACAAAAAAATTACCAGAAAACAGAAAATGAAAATGATTTTTATTCATCCCAAAAAAAATGAAACACGCATTTTTGAAACGTGACATTGTTTTGATAAAATAATGATAAAGATCTTACGTATTTCACATTTTTGGGGCTATAAAAGAGGCGGCTCAGAACATCAATTTTATTTTTGTCGGTACATCACTCTTTTTGTCAGCTTGTGGGATTTTTCTACTATGACTGATTCGAGGTAAGAGAAAAGAAAGGAACAGAGTAATTTATTGAAGTATATATTCTTTCAGTGATTCCATTTAACGTGATCTTAGTGTGCAAGCATGCTTGTCATGTTCATAAGCCGCAGGAATCACCGCAAATTGTAATTATTGGTATTGAACATAAAGAAGAAGAGAAGGCAACAGATTTGAGAAGAAAAAAAGCGTCTGCTCGAATTGTTGAATCTTCTTCCCAATCAAGCTATGCATCGTCAACATCAAAAAAAAATAAGAAAGAGGCAAGAAAGAAGAAAGAGGCAAGAAAGAAGAGAGAGGAAAGTGATCCAATAGAAAAATGAATATTTGTGTATCCTCTGTTTTTTCATCTAATGTTTATCATCCCGCTTAATGTATTTCATCCTTAACGTTTTTCCTACTTAATGTTACTCGTTGGATTTAATGTTTTTCCTAACTAATGTTTATCGTTGGTTTCAATGTTTTTTTCACCAGAAATTATCGTTTTTGAAACGTACATTTTCCACCCGGATATTTTTGGATGATATTTTCTTGTTTTTTTCCAGAATTTTTGAGAGGACTACTGTAGAGTACACGTGGCAAAATTAAAGCTAAAAATTTCAGATATTTTCAGCCATTTTTTGGGGCTGAAAAAGTTTTTCACAATTTTTTTCTTGATCAATTTTTCCAGAAAAAATTCAAAAACATTTCCAGATCCAAATTTCGTGCTGAAAATGCTAAAAAAAAAATCTACAGTAACCTGGGGTTTGTGTGATCAATAATGAGTCACAATTTGACTGTAAATATCTGAAATTAGGGCTTACAAACTATCATACCAGAAAAATGCAAATTTTCTGAAGTTTTCACAAATTCAAGTTATTTTCTCAACGCTGAGAAAAGCGAAGAAAACCTATTCAGGTAGGCTGAGAAAATACGAAAAAAGTGAAAGAAAAGACCATTTTCTCCGCATTTCTCCTGTTTTCTCAGCGTATTTGAAGACCTAATGCTTGAATAGCCCCACAAAAAAAAACAGAAATTGAAAATAATTGTAATTTAACAAAAAAAACGAAAAATGTCAATTATTAACACAGAGATAGATCAAGAAGTAAAGCATTTTCAGCAAACGTGGTCGAGATTCATGAAAAATTTGACATTACATTTTTCGGGATTTTTCTCAGAATTCACTAGGAATCAAATCTCCATTAAAAATTCATCAAATTTATGAAACAGTGAATTTTTTGTGAAGAAAAGTTATGGATATCAATCAAACTCATCAACTCAAAAAAGAACATAGATCGATTCATTTGGTTACACACTTTTTACAGAAAACACTAAAAAGAGGAAAAAGCAATGTGCATTCATGTTGTTTTTTTATAATAAATTTTTTAGGCATTTTCCACCCGGATTTTTTTGAATGATATTTTCTGATTATTGCAGAATTTTAAAGAAGATTACTGTGAGCGTCACATGGCATCATTCAAGTCCGAAGTACCTAGGTGTTTACAGTCAAATTGTGAGTTTTCGAGCTTTAGAGCACAGATTCTAGCTCCATAGCTAAAAAAAAAGTCGATTTTCAGTCCAATTTTGAGCTCAGGGGCTTAGAAAATTCCATTTTCAGAGCTGCAAAGCTCAAAAACATCGTGTCAAGCTGTATTTTCATCTCCTAGAGCATAATTTCAAGCTCCGAAAGTCAAAAAAGGATTTCTAGTAAATTTTTTGGGCTCTTGAGCACAAATTTTAGCTCCAGAACTCAAAAAGGGCTTTTATTCGGTAATTTTCAGGTTCCAGGCTTAGAATCTGCTATTTTTCAGGCTTCAGGCTTGAAACCTGAGCTTTTTCTCAAATTTCAGACCTGAAACCTAGGCTTTAGGTTGTTTTCTTCCAAATTTCAAGATTTTTCACTGAATTCCAGCTCTTTACTCATCCGAAACCTTAAATTTTCAAATTTCAAGGTTTCAGGTTCAAGAAAAGCTGGAAACTTTCAGATTTTTTCATAATATTCGCTGAATTTTCCCCAAAAATACTTTTACATTTCATTCAAAATCCGGTTTTCCAATTATTCGATTCTTGTTTTTTCCGCCAAAATCCAATTTCGCTTTCATCCAACATGTTTCTATAAAAATAATCATGAAAAACCCCGGGATTTTTTGAATTTTCGGTGAAAACACGCTATGCCAGCCGATACAAAAATTAAATTTCTGGGAGACGCAGACTTTTGCTGAGCCAGAGACATCTCTCGCCTTTCCTTCCCCCTCAGGCGATACAGTGTGCTGTTGGCGAACCTTGCAGACAAGCAGACACACACACAAAACATAGCGCATGGCCGCGCCGCTTTTTCGTCTGTCGCTGCGTTTATAGACCACATCGGCGTCGCCCTTTGATGTGTTGAGGTCTCGCAACGACTTTCTAACCGAAAATGAATGTCTGCGTCTCCTCCGAATTTGTGTGGTGGCACGACGTAGAAAAATACGTAAAAATCGAACCTGACAACTCGAAATCGGCTTTTTCCGAAACATCCATACAAAAATCGATTCTGAAAAAAATTAAAAATCAATTTTCGACGAAAAAAAATAGAGAAAAATTAACATTTCGAGAGAAAACAACTAAAATACAAACTAAATTCTTCAAATTACATCTAGAAATCAAAAAAAACTCTTCGAATTTCCAAAGACCAATTTCAGATATTTTCAGATGACCGCCTCAAAAAAAAAACAAGAAATGAACAGAAATGTGTAAACACGTGAGATCACACCAATAATGCACACAAAAAAATGCGGACGTTTGAAAATAACACATTTGGTCGAAGAAGGCGTTAGACGCAGGGATAACAGGCGTCTTTTGTATTATTTACAACGAAACACACATCTCAAACAACTGCTACAGTGGTTTTCGCGCGCTCTTCGGGAAAAGTTTAGGAGAATTTCTCCCCTTTTCTTCATTTTCGGCTGTTTTGTTATAGGAGACAAAATCAGCGCGTTTCGTAGATTCGGGTCTTATCGACCAGCCCTCCCTCCTCCTCCTTTTTTGGCTTTTAAGCAAGAATCCCCAATTTCCAGATCCCAGATTCGAGAAAGTCAAGGAGATTTTCAACAGGGATGAAGCCCAAAGACTCGATTTGTGGCAAAACGTGATCAATTGCCTCGAAAAAGACGGGGCGCCAACCACCATCAAAATCTACGAACACACTATGCGATCCTACATTCGATGGAAACAACGATCAACACCTCGAGGAAGGATTGGGAGAAGACGAGTGTCGGCTTCTCTTTCCTGGCCGAGCTCTCTCAAGAACGAAAAGCAAAATCCACAATTTCCGCAAACTGCGCCCTCAACTATTTCATGGGCCCGGTGTCCAAACCGAATCGATCGTTGCTGAATTCGATTATTGAGGCGGCCAAACGATCAAAAAGCCCCACAAAACATCGCGAGAAAGTGGAGCCCGAAGACTACTCCAACTTCACAAACATCCAGGAATTCGATCGAGATTCATTGCGAGTGGCAGCGTTGGGCATCGTGTTGTTACAAGGGGTTTGTTACGGATTAGCGAGGCTTTATGAATTTGCGGAAGGAGGATGCGGAATGGGAGCGCGGAGAGAACTGAAGATTTCGATCAGGACCTCGAAAACAGACAAATATCACGAAGGAGCCAAAAGACTGCTGGTTCTGTCATCAGAAGAACAAGCGATTTGGCGCACTTCACTCAAAAAAACAGCGACAACACCACAAACCCATACATTTTCCAAAATTGGAATTCGGGAACAACTTCGATGTCTTATAACAACGCCAGGAAAGTGATAAACGATCGTTGGAAAAAGTGCGGAAAAGTAAAAAATTATGGAACTCTCACGCTTTTCGCGGGGGAGCAGCTTCAGCCGCCGACGAAGGAGTTTCAGCCGAGAAGGTCCTCAGCTTTGGAAGATGGAAAACCGAGAAGGCCTTCAGAGCATATGTGAAACCAACCACTAGAATATCAATTCCAAGATCCGCGCCAGCTCAACTTGACAAGCGATCGTAAGTCTTCAAGAATCTATACGAAAACGCGGCTAATTTAGCCAAAAGAATTGTGAAAATTTAATAAATTTTTTCAGATCCATTCACACCAACAACGACTGCTGATC